TGTGTGTGTGTGTGTTGTGTGTGTGGCGGTGTTTTACCAGTGTGTGTATGCGGTGTTTTACCAGTGTGTGTGTGTGTGTGTGTGTGTTTTACCAGTGTGTATGGCGGTGTTTTACCAGTGTGTGTGTGTGTGTGTGTGTGTGGTGGTGTTTTACCAGTGTGTGTATGGCGGTGTTTTACCAGTGTGTGTGTGGCGTGTTTTACCAGTGTGTGTGTGTGGTGTTTTACCAGTGTGGTGCATGGCGGTGTTTTACCTGTGTGTGTGGCGGTGTTTTACCAGTGTGTGTGTGTGTGGTGTTTTACCAGTGTGTGTGTGTGGTGTTTTACCAGTGTGTGTGTGGTGTTTTACCAGTGTGTGTGTGTGTGTGTGGTGTTTTACCAGTGTGTGTGTGTGGTGGTGTTTTACCAGTGTGTGTGTGTGGTGGTGTTTTACCAGTGTGTGTGTGTGGTGTTTTACCAGTGTGTGTGTGTGTGGTGGTGTTTTACCAGTGTGTGTGTGGTGGTGGTTTTACCAGTGTGTGTGTGTGTGGTGTTTTACCAGTGTGTGTGTGTGTGGTGTTTTTGTTTTACCAGTAGTGTGTGTGTGTGTGGCGGTGTTTTACCAGTGTGTGTGTGTGTGGTGGTGTTTTACCAGTGGTGTGTGTGGTGTTTTTCAGTGTGTGTGTGTGGTGTTTTACCAGTGTGTGTGTGTGTGTGTGGTGTTTTACCAGTGTGTGTGTGTGTGGTGGTGTTTTACCAGTGTGTGTGTGCGGTGTTTTTTACCAGTGTGTGTGTGTGGTGGTGTTTTACCAGTGTGTGTGTGCGGTGTTTTACCAGTGTGTTGTGGTGGTGTTTTACCAGTGTGTGTGTGTGGTGTTTTACCAGTGTGTGTGTGTGTGTGGTGTTTTACCTGTGTGTGTGTGTGGTGTTTTACCTGTGTGTGTGTGGTGGTGTGTTTTACCTGTGTGTGTGTGTGGTGGTGTTTTTTACCAGTGTGTGTGTGGTGTGGTGGTGTTTTACCAGTGTGTGTGGGTGTTTTACCAGTGTGTGTGGTGTTTTACCTGTGTGTGTGTGGTGGTGTTTTACCTGTGTGTGTGTGTGGGTGGTGTTTTACCAGTGTGTGTGTGTGTGTGGCGGTGTTTTACCTGTGTGTGTGTGTGTGTGGTTGGTTTACCAGTGTGTTGTGTGGCGGTGTTTTACCAGTGTGTGTGTGTGGTGGTGTTTTACCAGTGTGTGGCGGTGTTTTACCAGTGTGTGTGTGTGCGGTGTTTTACCAGTGTGTGTGGCGGTGTTTTACCAGTGTGTGTGTGTGTGGCGGTGTTTTACCAGTGTGTGTGTGTGGCGGTGTTTTACCAGTGTGTGTTGGCGGTGTTTTACCAGTATGTGTGTGTGGCGGTGTTTTTCCAGTGTGTGTATGGCGGTGTTTTACCTGTGTGTGTGACGGTGTTTTACCATGTGTGTATGGCGGTGTTTTACCAGTGTGTGTGGCGGTGTTTTACCAGTGTGTGTATGGCGTGTTTTTACCAGTGTGTGTGTGGTGGCGGTGTTTTACCAGTGTGTGTGTGGCGGTGTTTTACCTGTGTGTGTGACGGTGTTTTACCAGTGTGTGTATGGCGGTGTTTTACCAGTGTGTGTGTGTGGCGGTGTTTTACCAGTGTGTGTATGGCGGTGTTTTACCAGTGTGTGGCGGTGTTTTACCAGTGTGTGTGTGGCGGTGTTTTACCTGTGTGTGTGACGGTGTTTTACCAGTGTGTGGCGGTTTTACCATTGTGTGTGACGGTGTTTTACCAACGTGGCGGTGTTTTATCAGTGTGTGTGGCGGTGTTTTACCAATGTGGCGGTGTTTTACCAACGTGGCGGTGTTTTATCAGTGTGCTCACCTAGTTGTGGTTGCAGGGGTCGAGTCATAGCTCCTTCACTGGCCGCTACTGGGTCACTCTTCGTGCTCCATGAGCTTTATCATACCTCCTCTTAAAGCTGTGTATGGATCCTGCATGTTCATGTGTGTGTGTGTGTACTCGCCTAATTACTCACCAAATTGTGGTTGCAGGAGTCGAAACTCAGCTCCTGGCCCCGCCTCTTCACTGAGCACTACTAGGTCCTCCCTCTCCCTGCTCCATGAGCTTCATCATACCTAGTCTTAAAACTATGTATGGTTCCTACCTCCACTACATCACTTGCCAGACTGTTCCACTTCCTAACAACTCTGTGGCTGAAGAAATACTTCCTAACATCCCTTTGACTCATCTGAGTCTTCAGCTTCCAATTGTGACCCCTTGTTTCTGTGTCCCATCTTTGGAACATCCTGTCTCTGTCCACTTTGTCTATTCCACTCAGTATTTTGTATATCGTTATCATGTCAACAATGACCCTCCTGTCCTCCAGTGTTGTCAGAGCGATTTCCCTCAACCTTTCTTCGTAGGACATTCCCCTGAGCTCCGGAACTAGCCTTGTTGCAAACCTTTGTACTTTCTCTAATTTCTTGACGTGTTTGACCAGGTGTGGGTTCCAAACTGGTGCTGCATACTCCAGTATGGGCCTGACGTACAGTGTATAAAGTCTTGAACGATTCCTTACTGAGTTACCGGAACGCTATTCTCAGGTTTGCCAGGCGCCCATACGCCGCAGCAGTTATCTGGTTAATGTGTGCTTCTGGCGATGTACTCGGTATTATACTCACTCCTAGATATTTCTCCTTGAGTGAGGTTTGAAGTCTTTGACCTCCTTGCCTGTACTCTGTCTGCGGTCTTCTTTGCTCTTCTCCGATCTTCATGACTTTGCATTTGGCGGGGTTAAATTCTAGAAGCCAGTTTCTGGACCACACGTTCAGCCTGTCCAGGTCTCTTTGTAGACCTGTCTGATCTGCATCTGATTTAATTCTCCTCATTAACTTCACATCATCTGCAAACAGAGACACTTATGAGTCTATTCCTTCCGTATTGTTGTTCACATATACCAAGAATAGCACTGGTCCCAGGACTGACCCCTGTGGGGCCCCGCTCATTACAAGCGCCCACTGTGATACTTCATCATGGACCATGACTCACTGTTGCCTCCCTGTTAGGTATTCTCTTATCCATTTCAGTGCCCTTCCTGTTATATGTGCCTGATCCTCTAGCTTCTGTACTAATCTCTTGTAAGGAACTGTGTCGAAGGCCCTCTTGCAGTCCAAGAAAATGCAATCAACCCACCAGTCCCTCTCATTTCTTACTTCAGTTACCTTGTCATAAAACTCTAGTAGGTTTGTGACACAGGATTTGCCTTCCATGAATCTGTGCTGGCTGTCATTTATAACCTTGTTCTGCTCCAGGTGCTCCACCACTCTCCTGATAATCTTCATGACTTTGCATACTATACACATCAGTGACACTGGTCTATAGTTTAGTGCTTCATTTCTGTCTTTCTTAAAGATGGGGACTACAGTTGCCATCTTCCATACCTCAGGCAATTGCCCAGTTTCAAGGGATGTGTTGAAGATTGTGGTTAGTGACACACACAGTGTCTCTGCTCCCTCTCTAAGGGCCCATGGAGAGATGTCCGGTCCCACCGCCTTTGAGGTATCAAGGTCACTTAGGAGCTTCTCCACCTCCCCCTCGGTTGTGTGTATTTCATCCAACACTTGTTGGTATATCCTCTGTTGGTGCACCCCACTGTTTTGTCTTCCCAGTGTCCCTTCTGTCTCCACTGTAAATACTTCCTAAAATCTCATGTTGAGCTCCTCACATACTTCCTGGTCATTTCTTGTGAGCTCCCCACCTTCTTTCCACAGCCTGATTACCTGGTCCTTGACTGTTGTCTTCCTCCTGATGTAGCTGTAAAGCAGTTTTGGGTCAGACTTCACTTTCGATGTTATGTTATTTTCATACTGTCACTGGGCCTCCCTTCTTGTCTGTGCATACTCATTCCTGGCTCATCGACTAATCTCTTTATTTTCCCGAGTCCTTTGCCTTCTGTACTTTTTCCATTCTCTAGCACACTTAGTTTTTGCCTCCCTACACCTTCTGGTAAACCAAGGGCTCATTCTGATCTTCCCATTATGTGTGTGTGGGGGGCGGTGTTTTACCAGCGTGTGTGTGGCAGTGTTTTACCAGACTGTATGTGGCGGTATTTTACCAGTGTGTGTGGCGGTATTTTACCAGTGTGTGTGCATGCGTGGCAGTGTTTTACCAGTGTGTGCGTGGCAGTGTTTTACCAGTGTGTGGCGGTGTTTTATCAGCATGTGTGTGGGGGCTGTTTTACCAGTGTGTGTGTGGCAGTGTTTTACCAGACTGTATGTGGCGGTATTTTACCAGTGTGTGTGGCGGTATTTTACCAGTGTGTGTGCATGCGTGGCAGTGTTTTACCAGTGTGTGGCGGTGTTTTATCAGCATGTGTGTGGGGGCTGTTTTACCAGTGTGTGTGTGGCAGTGTTTTACCAGTGTGTGTGTGTGTGTGTGTGGCAGTGTTTTACCAGTGTGTGTGTGGCGATGTTTTACCAGTGTGTGTACAGAATGATCCAAACCCATAGCGGTTGCGAGTCCAGGGAGGGGGGGTCACCTGGGGGAGGACTACACACTGCATGTTTTTGTTTGGTTGTGGCAGGACGTGTTTGTTTATGTTTTAATGTTGTTTGGTTGAGGTGAGATGTCTTTGTTTACACAGTATTATAATCAAAACAGCACTAAACCCACAAGGGTCATACAGCGCTGCAGATTTATAAACCAGGCCCTCAGTATGTGGTTTATAAACCAGACCCTCAGTATCCGTGGTTTATAAACCAGACCTTAAGTATCTGTGGTTTATAAACCAGAATCTCAGTATCTGTGGTTTATAAACCAGACCCTTAGTACCATGGTTTATAAACCAGAACCTCAGTATCCATGGTTGATGAACCAAACCCTCCTCCTGGTGGACCATAGTGCCCTGGTATCCCTGGGTGATGCCTTCCAAGAACTACCTGGGATACCAGGACACAACTGTAGTGCATTTTAAAATGTCGTTTGGTGGAGGTGGGACGTTTGTTTACATTTTAAAACGTTTGCTTGAGGTGGGACGTTTGTTTATTGCAAAGTTTGAACTTAAATTTACATCAACTAGTATAAAAATCTCCAGTGGAAAGAATTGACTAATGACATTTGTATCACGTTTGGTCTGGCAGGATGTCCAGGTGGGCTAGGTGGGCACCCACCTGGCCGCCCACCAACCTCGAATCGCCACTTCCGGCTGCCGGAACACCTTCCGTTTGGTAGTTTAAAATTGCAGTTGCTGCTGTTGCTTCTAGCGGATCGACCTGGTTGACCAGGGGGATGCGGGGCTGGTCCAAGTGGGTCGCATGGGCCAGGTGGGTGCCCACCTGCCCACCCATCAGCCTGGAATCGCCACTTCCGGCCGACGAAACAACTTCCGCTTGGTAGTTTAAAATCGTGGTGGCTGTGGCTTCCAGCGGATCAACCTGGTTGACCAGAGGGACCATTCCGCTGCCGCCAACCAGGATGGATGGTGCCGTTCCATCCAGGGTGATGGTCTGGTTGCTGTCTGCTGCCCGACCGCTTCCGATCGCCCGCAGCAGCTCGGCCTGAACAGCCCGGATGGGCCTAGTCAGTGGAAGGGAGAATGGAATATAGATGATCTCCACGTTCTGGGTGTCACCATCAACTTCTGCTATCCCCTCGATGTCTGGCACGCTCAGGATGTCTTCCGCTGGATGGATGTCATCCGTCAGGGTGGCTGGCACCTCTGTGGCATCTGCCAGGGATGCCCCGTCTGCTTGGCGGTTCCGGCGGGATGCCTGGTGTCCACCCCTCCGCTTCCGCCCGCCCCGTCGGCTGCTGGCCTGGTCCCTGGCTCGGCGGATCACCGCCTGGCGGACAGGGCGGATCTTCCGTGGTGGATCCGCTGCCCCATCTGCTCCCACTCCATCCACCAGTTCCTCTACCACGCAGACATGATCCTCGTCTCCAGCAGAAATTGACTGAAACAATGTAAATGTTATAAGAAATACACATCAACCAATAATGATAACTACTGTCAAACAGTTGTTATAATTGTCAGACAGTTGTTATAACTGCCAGACAGTCATTATAATTACTGTCAGACAGCCACCATAATGTCTGACAGATAGTAAGGTAGTTACTCACCAAACGACACATGGAACATTCCTCTTCTGGCGCCTCTGATGGAATGACCTCAGCCTTGACCTCTTGACCTCCACCTTGGCCTCCTCCTCCTCTACCTCCTCTTCCTCCACGTCCTCGTCCTCGACCGCGATGACCTCGTCCTCCAGCATGGGTCATCATGTGTAGTCGCAGCTTATCTAGAAAAACAAAATACTACGATAAACTTTATAAATAATAAGCGATGTTAGTCTAGGGGATTTTCATAGAGAATCATACTCCAGTTACATTGTAATAAGGGATCATTTCTGATAATATAATTTAATTTTGTATACAGATTAATAAGGAGATAGAAAAACTTTGTAAAATATATTTTTAATATTAAGTAGATAATGTTACTGACTTAAGGTATTTTAATTGTACCTTTTTCTTAGTTATTATATATAAACACAGACTTTATACACAACTTATAAATTACCATGACCTTCATTCTAGCTGAATGGGCCTTTAATATAAATGATCAATAAAGTTACAGCTTCGCTATTTTCCGAGACAATTAGGGTGTTGATTAGAATACTTGAAGTGTCTTAAGACATGAGAACTTCTATACAATGAAAGTTCCACAAGATCTCACAATTTCTGGTGACTTTAGAGAATAAAGTTTTAGACCAATAGCTTCTTAATTTAAATTAAAATGAGTATGTAATGAAAACCTTCTATATAGCCAGAGAAGTGCTGTACTGACTACTCTACTCCACTTACCTGACATAAGCTGCGTCGGCCGAGTAATAACCAGAGATGACATCATACAAACATTAAATGGTTTTTATTAACACACTGGCCGATTCCCACCAAGGCAGGGTGGCCACCAAGGCAGGGTGGCCACCAAGGCAGGGTGGCCACCAAGGCAGGGTGGCCACCAAGGCAGGGTTACCACCAAGGCAGGGTGGCCACCAAGGCAGGGTGGCCCGAAAAAGAAAAACTTTCACCATCATTCACTCCATCACTGTCTTGCCAGAAGGGTGCTTTACACTACAGTTTTTAAACTGCATCATTAACACCCCTCCTTCAGAGTGCAGGCACTGTACTTCCCATCTCCAGGACTCAAGTCCGGCCTGCCGGTTTCCCTGAATCCCTTCATAAATGTTACTTTGCTCACACTCCAACAGCACATCAAGTATGTATTAAAAACCACTTGTCTGCATTCACTCCTATCAAATACGCTCACACACACTTGCTGGAAGTCCAAGTCCCTCACACACAAAACCTCCTTTACCCCCTCCCTCCAACCCTTCCTAGGCCGACCCCTACCCCACCTTCCCTCCACTACAGATTTATACACTCTCAAAGTCTTTCTGTTTTGTTCCATTCTCTCTACACATCCGAACCACCTCAACAACCCTTCCTCAGCCCTCTGATAATAATTTTGGTAATCCCATACCTTCTCCTAATTTCCAAACTACGAATTCTCTGCATTATATTCACACCACACATTGCCCTCAGACATGACATCTCCACTGCCTCCAGCCTTCTCCTCGCTGCAACATTCATCACCCATTCTTCACACCCATATAAGAGCGTTGGTAAAACTATACTCTCATACATTCCCCTCTTTGCTTCCAAGGACAAAGTTCTTTGTCTCCACAGACTCCTAAGTGCACCACTCACCCTTTTCCCCTCATCAATTCTATGATTCACCTCATCCTTCATTGACCCATCTACTAACACGTCCACTCCTAAATACAGTGGAACCTCGGCTTACGAATTTAATCCATTCTGTGACCTCGTTCATATCCCGATATGTACGTATGCCGAGTCAATTTTCCTCATTTAAATTAACTGAAATGGCATTAATCCGTTCCAGCAGAATTCCTGCTCTTAGGAGGCACCACAAAATACTTCAATATGATGCTAATATCAACTCTACAGCTTATTTATAAATCACAATTTATCTAATTTCACCATCACTCAAGGAATACACAAGAGGTGCATCACTGTCAATGTTCAGAATTTCTTCGATGTCAGCTTCTTATAACTCCATTAGCACACAGTCAAGATGAGTCAATAGAATTGTCAATGCTTATTGCTTGGGTACGTTTATTCTATTAGTGGGTTGGATCTGTGAAGGACCTGCCTAGTATGGGCCAACAGGCCTACTGCAGTGTTCCTCCTTTCTAATGTTATTAGGTACCCATCCCCTCCCACTCATATACAGGGGACCCCCGCATAACGATGGCATCACATAGCGATTAATCCGCATACCGCTTGCTTTAATCGCAAAAATTTTGCCACGCATACCGATTAAAAACCCGCTCACCGATTTTCGTCCGAGACGCGTCCAATGTGCGCCCTCAGCCAGCCTCACATGTGCCGCCCGTGCCATTGTTTACCAGCCAGCCTCCGCGGTAACATCCAAGCATACAATCGGAATATTTCGTATTATTACAGTGTTTTCGGTGCTGTTTCTGGAAAATAAGTGACCATGGGCCCCAAGAAAGCTTCTAGTGCCAACCGTACACCAATAAGGGTGAGAATTCCAATAGAAATGAAGAAAGAGATCATTGATAAGTATGAAAGTGGAGTGTGTATCGCCGACCTGGTCAGGTTGTACAAGAAACCCCAATCAACCATCGCTACTATTGTGGGCACCAGAAAGGCAATCAAGGAAGCTGTTCTTGCCAAAGGTTTAACTGTGTTTTCGAAACAAAGATCGCAAGTGATGGAAGATGTTGAGAGACTCTTATTGGTGTGGATAAATGAAAAACAGCTAGCAGGAGATAGCGTCTCTCAAGCGATCATATGTGAAAAGGCTAGGAAGTTGCATGAGGATTTAATTAAAAAAATGCCTGCAACTAGTGATGATGTGAGTGAATTTAAGGCCAGCAAAGGTTGGTTTGAGAGATTTAAGAAGCGTAGTGGCATCCATAGTGTGATAAGGCATGGTGAGGCTGCCAGTTCGGACCACAAAGCGGCTGAAAAATATGTGCAGGAATTCAAGGAGTACATAGACAGTGAAGGACTGAAACCTGAACAAGTGTTTAATTGTGATGAAACAGGCCTGTTCTGGAAGAAAATGCCAAGCAGGACCTACATTACTCAGGAGGAAAAGGCACTCCCAGGACATAAGCCTATGAAAGACAGGCTTACTCTGTTGATGTGTGCCAATGCTAGTGGTGATTGCAAAGTTAAGCCTTTATTAGTGTATCACTCTGAAACTCCCAGAGCGTTCAGGCAAAAGAATGTCCTCAAGGATAATTTGTGTGTGCTGTGGAGGGCAAACAGTAAGGCATGGGTCACTAGGGACTTTTTCTATAACTGGTTACACCATGCATTTGCCCCCAATGTGAAAGATTACCTAACTGAAAAGAAATTAGAACTTAAGTGCCTCCTGGTGTTAGACAATGCCCCTGGTCATCCTACAGACGTGGCAGAGCGACTTTATGGGAACATGAGCTTCATTAAGGTGAAGTTTTTGCCTCCTAATACCACTCCTCTCCTGCAGCCCATGGACCAGCAGGTTATTGCAAACTTCAAAAAACTGTACACAAAAGCTCTGTTTGAAAGGTGCTTTGTAGTGACCTCAGAAACTCAACTGACTCTAAGAGAGTTTTGGAGAGAGCACTTTAATATCCTCAATTGTGTAAACCTTATAGGTAAGGCTTGGGAGGGAGTGACTAAGAAGACCTTGAACTCTGCTTGGAAGAAACTGTGGCCAGAATGTGTAGACAAAAGGGATTTTGAAGGGTTTGAGGCTAACCCTGAGAGGATTATGCCACTTGAGGAATCCATTGTGGCATTGGGAAAGTCCTTGGGGTTGGAGGTTAGTGGGGAGGATGTGGAAGAGTTGGTGGAGGAGGACAATGAAGAACTAACCACTGATGAGCTGATAGATCAACTTCAAGAGCAAGAGGCCAGACCTGAGGAAACTGGTTCAGAGGAGGGGAGAGAGAAATTGAAAAAGTTGCCTACTACAAAGATTAAAGAAATCTGTGCAAAGTGGCTTGAAGTGCAAACCTTCATGGATGAAAATCACCCTCACACAGCTATTGCAAGCCGTGCTGGTGATTATTACACTGACAATGTTGTGAAACACTTTAGGCAAGTCATAAAGGAACGAGAGGTACAGGCCACTATGGACAGATATGTTGTGCGAAAGAAGTCCAGTGACTCTGAAGCTGGTCCTAGTGGCATTAAAAGAAGAAGGGAAGTAACCCCAGAAAAGGACTCGACACCTCAAGTCTTAATGGAAGGGGATTCCCCTTCTAAACACTAACACTCTCTCTCCCCTCCTCCCATCCCATCAATCATCACCAGATCTTCAATAAAAGTAAGTGTCATGTAAGTGTGCATGCCTTTTTCAGTTTGTGTGTATTAAAATTAACATTTCATGTGGTAAAAATTTTTTTTTTTTCATACTTTTGGGTGTCTTGCACGGATTAATTTTATTTCCATTATTTCTTATGGGGAAAATTCATTCACATATCGATTATTTCGCATAACAATTACCCCTCTTGCACGGATTAAAATCGTTATGCGGGGGTCCACTGTATTTGTCCAGTCACTTCTTAAAGCTACCCAAGGTCCTAGCCTCTATCACCCCACTGGGAAGATTGTTCCACACATCCACAACTCTGTTAGAAAACCAGTACTTACCTATATCCTTTCTAAATCTAAATTTATCCAACTTAAATCCATTATTTCTGGTTCTTACCTGGTTCAACACCCTCAGTACTTTATTAATATCGCCTTTGTTTATGCCCGTCATCCACTTATACACTTCAATGATATCTTCCCTCATTCTACGTCTCTCCAGAAAGTGGAGATTTAAGACTTTAAGTCTATCTTCATACGGGAGATTCCTCCTGCTTCGCCTCACCTGACTACAGTATACATGTATAAGCCACATCTACAGCCCTATGCTGTACATTCTACAAGATTGATGGACTGAACACATCGACTCCAGGCTGAGGGACTAATTACCTCAAACTCCTCCTCTCTTTACACCTTTCTGCTATGTATTGGACTGATGAAGCCACTGTGTGGCGAAACATTTCCTCAATAAAGATTCCCATATGTTGCATTAATGTCTCAATCTTCAACTTGTCAGTTTTCAAAACCATTCATCACAACTGTCAGACACTGCATCATCATGGGATCTTGATACAAAGAATTCTTCAAAACCTGTCCATCCTTTGGACGA